ATCTTAATATTTTTCATTGACAGCACTGTGGAAACCTGTAGTTAGAAGTCTTAAATTCAACCGTAATTACCCAGTATTTACACAGTGACACCCGACAGTCATTAGGATGACATCTCAACTCCGCTATTATTTTTCCTGTGATTGTCCATATTAGTTTCCTTTGATTTGAATCTGTGCCATAAGATAGCGTAGTCTTAAGGCTAAGAGACAGGTAGGCAGTAATTTATCTGATATTTATAGTCAGTAGCACAAAGAACTCGCTGATTATCCACAGATAGTGAGGGATTATTAAGAATTATTAGAGGGTGGGAAAAGGATTTCATCCAGGATTGTAGAAGCAATTGAGTTAGACCCAGTTCAAATAGTTTACAAGTGTTCTTTCAGTGTACTTTGGAGGAGATCAGAGATTGTGAGCCCTTAAGCTGAAAAAATAAGTCTTTGGAACTTCTTGAAAGTTTGTCAATTCAGCCAATTTGGCAAGTGTAGTGGGAAAGTTGCTTAACTGGTTTTCCAGTAGTGTATCCTGCATCCTTCTCTCCTAAGTGAGGACTTAATTTGCTTCAAATGATATAATCATAGCTTGAATTTCCAGTCTTAGTATATAGTTCCAAGTGGAAGGTAATCAAATTTATCAAGATTTTCCCTGAGAATTGCCAGAATATTTGGGAAGAGAAGTTAGGAATTGTTTTAGTAGAATTACGCTAGATTAATTCAAGTGGATAAAATTAGAATGTGTGTGGAAGGAGCAAGTTATTATGGCTCTCTTGATAAAGAGAAACTGTTATTTATACTAATAAATTAAGCCTGATGGCAACCACTCTGTAAACAGTGCAGTAACATTTCTAGGATCTGGTTTGATGAATCATTTAGAAGTGGAAACTGAAATTTAGCTGGAGTGAAAATGGAAAGTGCATGCATCAGCAGCTTTTCAGTTGCTAGACAGAGTCTGTGCAGTATACCAATTACTATTTAGATACGGTAGCGGCCAGCAGAATAACTGGTTACAGACCAGTATTTTCTGAATTATGAACGAGAATTCCCAGAGAAAAGGAAGCCAGCAGCAGGGTCCAAATGTAGAAGGAGGAAGGAATATTAGAATGAGGTCAGAGGATATACTGCAAATACTATGATGCAGCTTGAGGAACAGCAGCTGAATTAACGGCTGATTACTTGGGCCAAGGGTGGACTATTTTTTGGAAGTTGGCACTGGTTTTTGGTATATACTGCTGGTATGTGCTCCAACTGTGGAGTGTATATACTGATCTTAGCAAGAATTTTGTGACTGAACTCAACTGAATTTTGATATTGGAAGGGTAATGCGCTTCTGAATGTTTTGTTTTTATGCAGAAATTTTTTGCTCTTTGCCCTTGTAGACAACCCAGAAAGTAGCCCTAAGCAGATTAGAATTTGAATTACAACATCACTTTGATAAAAGCAAAAAAAAAAAAAAAAAAAAAAGAAAAACTTTGTTTTTCTTTAATATCTTAATAGCTACAGAAAAAAAAAAATCTTAAATATCTTCCTCAATTTCTAAGCCTCTCTTTTCTCTTTCATTATTTACCATATGCCATACTTTCTTTGCAGCTACTGTTGAGCGCATTTCTTTCCATATGAGTCAGGGTGGTAGAAGGGAAGGAGAGAGGATGTAAAAGTAACATCCTGAGAGTGGGGTTTCCTCATCCTATTGTTGAGGACAACTGATAAGAGATTGATGTGAATGTTTATATTTTGCATTTTTAGGAAGGAGATTGCCATGGTTATGAAAAGCTCCTACCTTCGAGGATTGAACTTAGCCTCTTTCTTTGTGGCAAGCAAAATAACAGTGTTCATGACTTTCATGGCATATGTACTGCTTGGCAATGTTATCTCTGCAAGTCGGGTGTTTGTTGCAGTGTCGCTGTATGGTGCAGTAAGACTGACAGTAACGCTCTTCTTCCCTGCGGCTGTTGAGAGAGTATCCGAGGCAGTGGTTAGCATACGACGAATCAAGGTATGGTTACTGATTTTGAGTGATTTGTGGATTTGTTCTCTTAATCTAATACTATTTCAGCGTTGCCAACAAAACCAGCTTCATTTTAGTTTTGCAGAGTTTGGTATTTTTAAGTAAATAATCTCCCTCAAAAACTGAACATCTTGTTGCGTGAAGTATGTGGAAAAACATAAAATAAGCTGCAAGGCAACTGGTGGGGTGAAATGTAGGAGGCAAATGTGTATGCAGTGAGCTCTTGTACACGTTTTTGAGATAAGAAGAACGTATGCAGATACATGGATATGTTGGGTTTGGGAGTTGTGAGCCTGGAGGACAAAAAAGCAGATGGGAGACATAGGGTGCATAGTCCATGCATGCTGTGCTGCGCTGTCAAAATGAAGAACAGGCATGGGCCCTAGCTAGTGTCTGAACTTCTTTCAGTACTGGAATGAAGACTACAAATTCAGTTAAAGTGAATATCACTCATACTGCTATCTGTAGCAGAGGAGCTTTATTTTGCTTGATTTTGTTGTATTTACTGTGATATTTTAAATAAAATAAGTGCACAAATCGTGTTCACTGTTCGTACCAGCACTTTAGTGTAAACTACAACAGCAAAAGATCTAAATGCGAATTAGGTTTTTAAATTTAAAACTTAACCTGGCAATTTGGGATCGTTTTTTTTATGGAAATACGCAGTTAAAGCATGTCAGTCATTCTAACTGATATTTCACAAAATTAAGGTCTACTCTAGTCTGGAACCAGAGAAATGGAAGTACCTTTCATGTAATCATATGGCTGTGTCACTGTGCAATTTGTTGGTTAAAGTAGCTAAAATCTTCTGTTTCATATGCTTGACTATAATAAATCAGTTTTCTTGCTGATAAATGTGCTAATTTTACTAAGCCCACACCTAAACTACGTATTAAACAGGTGATCTTTGCACTTTGAAGAAGGATTTGTTAAAAGTTGATGCAGGTAGAGTTGGAAAATGTTAATGAGTGTAAATCACAACAACAGCTATATTGTAGACAGTAACATGTATTACTACTGCTTAAACTAAACTGCAGGAGTGGAGAAGAATGCTTGGGATACTTGGCATTGTGCACTCTCTCTTCTGTCCTCTCATATACCCCGTGTTCAGCTCCAGGGCAATGCTGTTTGAAGAGATCTTTCAAGCTCTGCAGATGGAGAGATGTGCGGGCTGATAAAGGTGCCTTATGAGGAGCAGAAGGACACTTGAGCAGATACAGTGATGATCGAACTGTTCCTTTTTTTTTCCTGTCCCGATTTCCCGTGTATCCTAGGATGTATCTGCTGTATTCCAGCATATTACAAGATTTTGCTTCTAGCAGCCTGCTTCAACTCCCCTGTCACTATGATTCCTAAGGGTGATTATTAGAAACCACCTCCAAAATCAGGGTTCATTGGAATAGGCTAAGAACTCTACTAATGAAGCTGTAGCGTTCTTGGGGCAATCATCTACCTTTTACTCTTCATTTTCCGAACTGCAAAATGTGTCAAGGTTAGACATTCTAGTATTGGATGGCAAGATGTTGCCTGACTGAAGATGTGATTGAAATGTAGAGGAATGGAAAGAAAATGCAGAAAGAGTAGGAAATATGGAAAAACGGATTAAGATGATGACTAGGTGTATCTGGCAAAAACTGAATATAGTATTTTTTTTGTAAAGAAGGTGCCTTTCCACAGGTTTTGTAGAACAAGGTTTCAGCAGTGATCTTGTAGTATGCTCAGGTAGAGACAGGGAAGCAGGATGTGTTATGTTTCAGGTAACATGGAAGAAGAATATCAGATGGGAGGAGCCTTTCCTCCATACTCATGCATACATACATAGGCCACCATATGACAAAAAGGCTATTAAGGTCTCCTTATTGTTTTTTATTTTTCCTAAGCTTTCTTCTCCCCTCGCCCTAGCTGAAAATCTGATCTGCTTCTCTTCTTGAGGCTCATCTACTATTTCGTGGTGGAGCAAGAGGCTCAAGGTCCCCTCCTGAAACACAGCAAGAGTTGTTGTTTTTTGGAGGCTTATTTTGGCAGAGACTATGAAAGGAGGATACATTTCATTTGAGTATGAAAGATAGGTTTCTCTCTCAAGGACACAGTCCTGTCTCAGGCTAATGTTTGCTTCTCAACATTCTGTGGAAAGCTAGCAATTTCATTTTTCTCTGCATGGAACATTAGTAAATACAAAAAGAATGCAAGAATATTTTAAGAGAACTTAAAATCTTTAAGGATTAAGTTATTTTACTACTTTCAAACATTTTATTTCTAGTGTTGATTTCTTCCCAGTGTTTACAATCCTTGGAATTAGCCATGTAGTTTTTTTCTTCATTTGTACTAATTTAATTTGAATTGTTCCACCTGTGGTGCAGTCACCTTTTTGAATCAAATGGCTAGCTAGAATTTATACCTGGTGAGAATGCTACTGCTAGAAGAAAAACTCCTGATGAAGTCTTGTTATATAAATGCAGAAAGAATTCAACAATAGGAGACCAATTCCTTGCTCATAGCTTTCATGATGTTTCAGCCATCGTCTAAATCCAAATCATATTTTCGATGCCTTTTCTTAGGCCACACACCCACAATGTCTGCCATCTTTTTAACCTGAATTTTCTCTTACACGCATACCCATTTGCTCCCACCTGTCAAAAACAGCACTAGGCGAACTTGCTTTCTCTTGACCGGAGAGCTCAGACTTGTGTGGCTTTGTATTTTTATCTTTTGTTGGAGATGTATCCTTGCATTAAGTCTGGAGACTGCTGCATTAAAATGCTTGAGTTTTCACATCTCTTTTAATGATACTTGCCAGCTGAATTTTGAGTAAGTTCCATTGTACCTGGTAGCACATAGCAGGACTGCTCCTGTCCTCTAATGGTTTTTTTCATCTTTGTTCTGTTTCTTCTTCTGTTACTGACTTCTGTTAAGTCTTCATTATCTGTCTGATTTATGCAGGCTAACTATTAGTTCAGTACTTGTTAACAGCTTTGTACAGTGTCCGCACAGCTCCTTTAAGAAAAATGAGAACAAAGTCAGTCCTCACCATCAAAGCAGCGGGATGATAAGGTATTGTAATTAGGGCTTCATCCGTTCTGCATGGGAAGGAGGAATCAAATTCTTGTAAGGTTTGTCAGTATTTCGAGGGAAAAAGAAAAAACGGGACTGGTTCCAAGTTCTGTTTGCTTCATGAATTTACTTTTGAGCAGGTTGTGATTAGAGTCCTGCAGTACTCCTATGCTATGAAATGTGTGCTTCTGAGTGATATCTGGGATGGTTAGCTAGTTAGAGGTGCACTGTTCAAAGGTGTCGAGCATTGCTTTGGAAATACGATTACTTGATCAGTATGTGTATTCTTCTCATAAATTTTTTTTTCATGTGCTGCTTACGGAAACATGGATTTGCATTCCTTTCCTAATCTCAAATTAAGCAATAACCTATGCTTTTCCTTTGTGGCAGAACTTTCTGATACTTGATGAGGTTTCACACTTCAAGCCACAACTGCATGGTGGTAATGAGAACGTCATTCTTCATGTTCAGGATTTGACCTGCTATTGGGATAAGGTAAACTTATTTCTGCTAAATGTTAAGAGTATACGGATGGTGCAGGCATTTTAAGTCTACTTAGCAGTATATCTATATATAATGTGGTGTTTTGTGTGGTGTCTTTTATATATGAGAAACCTTCTAGTATATTAAGCTAACTCTGTAGAATAGTATGGGAAACAGTATCGAGTGCATCTTAAAAGCAGTTATTTCTGAATATTAAGAGTAACTAACTGAAAACTCTGTACATTTCCATATGAAAATATCTTTATATTATTTAACAGCGCTTCACTGTAGCTCAGATGCTGAATTTCTAACTAAAGGCGGGCAGCGCGTCAGTCCACTAGGCTAGAACCAGAACTATATTGTACTCCACATAAGAGATCTGATGGCTTAAGAGACTAACCTGCAAGTAATTGTTACTCTCTGTGTTTTGAACTACATATTGCTGGAGGTTATTGGAGATTATTGAACTACGTATTGCTCTTTACTTGGAAAAAAAACCAAAACCACCGGAGTGACTAGAAAAAGGGACAACATAGAGGTGATAAATCTATTACACATCTTTTTCTTTAAATGAGGCAAAGATTGACGTTCTGTTTTAAAACTAGAATTGCTATGATAGGCGGCAATTTGTGATGAATTATTGGAGATGTTATGAGCTGTCACTATCCTTGCATAAAAGAAGCTATGAAGGTTTCAGTCTTCATAAGAAGACATGAGAAATATTGGAAGCTCTGAAAATGAATTTTGCCTATGAATGTACTGCAAATAAGACATGTCAAATACTTCCCTTTATACACCTTCCTCTCCCCACACATGCTGATACATGTGAGGATCTACCTAATAATTCTGCTCAGCAGCAAAAGTAAATTGCAGTATTACGTTGGTGTTTGACTTTCTCAGAGCTGTCTCTGTGAAGCAAGTTTTTTCTGAGTCATCAAACACTTTTTTACTGATATGAATACGTTGTATTGCAAAATGGAATCACAGAATGGCCGAGGTTGGAAGGGGGATCTCTGGAGATCATCTAGTCCAACCCCCCTGCTCAAGCAGGGTCACCTAGAGCATATTGCCCAGGATCACATCCAGACGGGTTTTGAATATCTCCAGGGAAGGAGACTCCACTACCTCTCTGGGCAACCTGTTCCAATGCTCTGTCACCCTCACAGTGAAGAAGTTTTTTCTCAGGTTCAGATGGAACTTCC